ATGGGTGTTAAACACTGGCAGGCAGCTCCTGCTGCCCCAGCCGTGCTCCTGGGCTCGCCAGTGCTTCCCAAACCTGCCGCCACCCCAGCCCGGAGCTGTGATGCCTGGAAACAGCCCGACATACTCATAACATTGGTGATGAAGGCTGGGGAGAAGACTTGGTGCAGGACGGTCTGTGGGAAATGGCTGAGCTGAAACATGGACATGAGGATGTTGACGGTCGCCAGGGGTGAGCTGCCGGCCTTCTGCTCCAGGATGGCCTCCAGCTTGGGGAAGAGCTCGCTGTGGTTGGATGGGCGGTAATTCATGCGACTGAAGGGAAACACCAGCTTCTGGATCACCTGCGGGCAGGAGGAGGATGAGTGGGGCTGGGCCAGGCAGCGGCAGAAAGGACAGGACAAACCTGTCCAGAACCTGGCAGGAACAGGCTCTCACAGCCCGTAAGAACCAGAGCACATCCTGGTTGCTGCCAGCAAGGAACCAGCCCAAAGAAGGAGAAGTGAGGTGGTTCTCCAGCATCAGGGCAGCTCTGAAGGCAGCCCCAGGCATCCCCCCAGCCTGGGGTGAGCACTCACCTTGCTGTCGAGCTGCTCCCCACGCTTCAGGAGGAAGTTCGCGATGGTATCGAGCAGCCGTGGCTCACGCAGACGGTGCCGGGCCACATACTTGGCGATGAGGGCCATGGTGTAGGGGGTGAGGTTCTCTGCCTTCCTGGGGAGCCACTCTGCACAGGGCAAACCACAGCAGGGTATTGTCAGAGAGGCCTGGCTCTGGCTCGACTGTAGCTCTCCAGGAGCCACTACAGCCTGGGCAGAAAAGGCAGTGCAGGCAGGTGGGATATAACAAGACCCAGAGCAAAGCCATCTCTCCTGAAACTCAGAAGACTTCCAAAAACCTTAAAGTTATGTGGCTTGTAAGAGGCTCAGGCAGAATCCCATCACATGCACACCAGGAAGCACAGCTGGAATATACGCAGAATGGGGTCCCTTCTCTAGAAACCCCACTGAAAACAGCCTACTCCCAGTCTCGAGGTAAGGCAGGCTCCCAACCCTGGACGGATTAGGCTGGGAAGTGAGTGACAGGACAGCCAGAGCACATAGCATCTCCTGCTCCAGCCTCACCAAGGTGCTGAGCTCCTGGCACTCAATATAAACCCCTGGTGCTGTCATAAACTAAGATGCCCTCCGGGGCCAGGACAGGAGGCTCCAAGGCTGCCAAGTGCATGGACCCCCCCATACCGGGGTGGAGACTCGCCCAGTGGGCAAGGACCCTGCCCTCACCTGCCATGCTGCGGATGAAGCGCTCTTGGCGGTTCTCGTAGAAGAGCTGAGAGCTGAAGATGGCCTCCAGGGCCTTGTTGTTCGCCTCCTGGGCGCACAGGGCCAGCATCTCATCCAAGAGGGCCAGCTCGTGCTCCCGCATGGCACTCACTTGCCCCAGTGTGTGCCTGACGAGGCGCAGGATCTTGCGGTTGTTGATCAGCTGCTGGTCGGAGGCCGGGTGTCCCTGCAGCGCCTGTGCCCGCAGCCGGTAGTAGGACAGGAGCAGGAACAGGGTCTGGGGGTGCCGCTCCTTCTCCAGGTGCCGCTCCAAGCTGCTGAGGCAAGACTCAACCAGGGGGTGGGGGCTGGATGGGTGCAGCCTCATCACGCTGCTGAACACCATGGAGACATCCTTCTGGTTGAAGCGGCCCAGGCGGCTCCGGGATTCATCCTCCAGCACTCGCACCAGCGGCGATTCCCCGGGGAGGCCTGTGACAGGGAAGGGATGAGGGACGTCCAGACTCCATCTCCCATCTTCACTATACACAACTGTCCTCGTAGGCTCAGGCACTAGGCTAGAGCCAGGGGACAGGTTTGCCATGCCAGTGATCAAATCAAAGGTGAGAAAGGGAAAGGGACCGGTCTGGCACAGCCTGACCAGAATATGAGGGCATCTGAACCACAGAAAAAGCCATGTGGAGCTGCTAGGTTATTACCCCCTGCTCTGCCAAAATGGAAGTCCTTTAGTTCATCTGCAAAAGTGAGGTTTATTTCTTAACTCTCCAACTTCTTAAAGACAAATAAGACACCTCTAAAGATACTTTAAAAATGTTATGGTTGGAAAACAAACAAGAAATCAACACATCACTGAAATAAAACCTGTCTCTGTGTGATGGGAACTAATCCTTTCACATCTCCAACCTTCTCCCTTTTCCTACTGCAGCTTTAGTCTTTCAAACCTGACTCCTGGGAAAAACGCTCTCCCCCAGCTCTGGGTGTATTATTCAACCAGGGAAAGACAAGAGGCCAGGCACACAGGAAAAAGGCAAAGGCCACCCTCCGTGTGTCAGGAGAGATATGTCCAGGAGACACATGGAGCATTAGGCACCGTATGAGGCCCTGGTAGCCCACTGCTCTCCTCAGCCAGCTGACGAGATTTCAGTTTTCAAAAGGGCTTTAAAGCACCGGAGGCAGCATGGGGTAAGTCGCTGCGTTTTATCATTAATCAAAAATCAGCCAGAAGGTGGAAAGTGAAGAATTGGTCTGAGCAGTTGCTTTGTTCCTTGAAGAAGAGGCGGGTGAGTGTTTTTATTAATGAGCGAGTGAGCGTGGTGAGCAGGGGAGGGCGACTGACAGAGAACAAAGTGTGGGTCAAATCCAGAGCAGGCCGGGGGGGAGCCCAGCTGAGGGGAGAGGCGCCTGGCAGCCAGAGCTCAGCGTCAACAAACACAGAGCGCTGAGAGACAGAGCAGGAACTTCTTCCCTCCCCCTTCCAGCAGGGTCTAGAGTTACTGCATCAACCCATGGCCGGCACCAGGCAGCTCAGCCAAGGCCTCGGCCCAGCGTGCAGCGGCAGTGGGGGGAAAGATAAAAGCAAACAGAATGGCAGGAGGCGTGTGCATGAGGCTGGCAGGAACCACTGGGGTGGGAAGGCATGCACCATGGGGTACCTATGAGGCACCCTGGTACCACCAGAGCAGGCAGGAGGATCCGCAGGGCCCTTGGGGGTCCCCAGCCCAGCAGGGGCGCTGTAATGCCCAGGGGCTGCTGCTGAGCAGGAACCCAAACCAACTTGAACCTTCTCTCCTGAATATCAAATGCCCACCAATACAGGGCACACAGCTCGCAGAGGGTTTAGCCAAAATCTTGCATCACACGCTTTGATGCTCAGATGTTTCCCTGATTTTCAGGGCTGGAACAAAACTCGAGGAGTGGTTTATCCCACATCCTGCCAGGCACTTTGGCTGCCCTTCGGGCTGACTGCTGCAGCCAGCTGAGCTCCTCCCTGAGCAGTCAGTCCATCCTTCCAACCCCAAGCAGAGCCTCCTCCTCCTTCACAGGGCACAGCTCCATCTGCCACAGAGCCACCGCCACATGTCAATCCACACACAAACCCAGACACCAGTGCCTGTCTCAGTGTATCCTTCCTCCGTCTATGGCAGCTGGAGAAGCCCGCTTTCCTTTCACCTCACAGACCACATGCTGGCCCATGTTCCACTGCCCCACTGCCCTCCGCCTCCCCATTTGCTGTGGGTGATCCTACACAGGCCAACACCAGCTGCCCAGACACTCACCCAGCGCAGCAGCGGCATACAGGCAGTTGACAATACTGAAGTTATCGAACTTGGAGCAACCGCTGATGATGGCTTGACAGAGAGTCTGGAACTCTGGCTGCTCCAGCACCTGGCTGGGCCCACGGCTCTCCCCATTCACTGCAGCATGGCCCTGCTGCTGCTGCAAGAGCTGGCCCAGCTTGTGCAGGGCGATGGGGTAGTGGCTGGCAGACACCTTGCTGGGATTCTGCGTGACCCACCGCAGCACTTCCCCCACGCTGCGGGAGCGCTCGATCAGACGCTTCATTGTGAAGAAGGTGTCATAACTCATCTTCTCGTGGATGAAGTTCCAGCTCTTCCTCTTGCCATGGCCTCGAGTCCTGTAGGCATCTGGGGGGAAGGTGTGCAGCAACCCATGGCCATAGGGGTCCAAGGGGAGCAGCACAGCCCGCTGCTTCGCTTTGCCGGCACAGTAGCAGGTGGGATACATCCCGGCCCCGCTCCGGTCACCAGCAGCCAGGCCCTGCAGGACTCCGGGCCACACACTCTCCCGGGTCAGAGCACGGAGCCATGGCAGCAGGCGCAACATGGCGAGGGCAGGGCGGCTCGGGAGGCTTCGGAGAACCGGGAGACCCTGGGGATGAGAGGAGGGCGGCAGGGGGATCAGCGAGGCAACAGCCGGTGAGGGGTAACAAGGAGCCCACACCGGGACCCTCCACCCGCCCAGATCCACCTCAGTGCAGGGGTACCTACCCCATAAACTCCCCACTTCTGAGCTCCCCGCACCCGGAGTCCCCCTGCACCAGGTCCCCCGCCCCGCACAGGCCCCGTTATCCCGGGCCTCCGGCCTTCTTAGGTGCACCCCCCCCGATGTCATCCCTCCCCTCATCCCCATCCCTTCTTCCGAGGCCAGCAGATTCCCTTTGTCCCAGGAGCCCTAGCGCACGCAGATCCCTGGCCGGTACCGCCGGGCCGCACCGAGCGCTCCTCCACGGTACCGGGAGCGCAGGGCCAGGCCGCAACGGGACCGCAAACCCGGGGCTCCCCCATGCCCACCCCCCGGGCCCAGCCGTGCCCCATAGTGCCGGGCCCTACATGGCGCTCGCGGCCGCGCTGTATCCCGCCGCCGCCGCCGCCCCGGCCGCCTAGCGCCGCCCGGACACCGACTCCGCCATCTTCCCGACAGCCCCCGCCGGGCCGCGGGCTCAGCCCCGCCCCCCGCGCGGCCCACACTTCCGGGGGCGGGACCGCATCACCCGCAACCGGTTCCCATCCTCCAATGAGCGGGCTCCTCGTGCAGGGGGCGGGGCGGAGCGGATCCGCCAGCTCAGGGGCGCGGAGGCCCTGCGGAACGCGTGGCCCGAGGCGCTGACCGCGCCCCCTCCTCGTAGCCCCGCCCCTCCCACCGCCACGGCCTCCCCCCCTCCCACCGGAGGCGCATCAGAGCCGGGAGCCCACCATCGTTCAGTCCTTCCTCTTTAATCGTGACACCGGGACCCCCGGGGGAGCGGATACCCGTACGCAGGGCTCGACCAGCCCAGGCGGGAGCATCGCTCATGAGAGATCCGAGCCACGGGGCACAGGTGTGGGATGGGAGCCAGGCTGGGATCCCCCTCCCCAGAGGCAGCCCGCCTCCAGGCCCTGCAATGCCCTTGTCCCTGGTTGCTGTGCTGTCCCAGATGCCTCCTGCCTGGCTCGGCCCCCTGGAGGGAGCGCTGGGTCCACACAGTCCAGGTCCAGCCCCCCAGTTCAGGAGTGCAGGCAGCTCCCTCCTGGCACCATGCGTACTCTGGAGCACGGCAGCTCTTTCGGGGCACAGAGCTGTGCTATCTGCGGTACATGGTGAAGGCCATGAAGCTGAAGAGGAGGGTGAGGCCGGCTAAGAAGGTGGTGGCGGTGGCGGTGAAGACGTGGCGGTACTGGAGCTGGAAGTACCAGAGCACGGCCAGCATCAGCACGAAGAGCGGCAGCATGAGGCTGCCCACGTTGAGGGCAGCGTGCACGGGGTCGGCGGAGGCGTGGGGACCGGCGGGCGCGGGGGCCGGGCTGTGCTGGGAGATGTGGCAGTGCAGGACACTGTTGTGGGTGAGGTGTAGGGAAGCCAGGCTCTGACTGTCATCGCGCAGCAGCTGCCCCTGGTAGATCAGCCGCACTTGCTGCTCCTGCCCGGGGAAATAGGCCCTGCAGTGGGGCAGCAAGGAGGGAGATGTCACATGCCCATCAGGACACAGTCCCGCCCCGTCCAGCCTCCCAGGTGCAGGTAGTGAATGCACCCACCCTGACCACCCGCTGAACCCCATGTCCGCATTTCACCACCCCCTGCCACAGGCAATGACATAAGTGAAGACGCTGGGACACCCCACCACGGATGGGCACAGGCACACAGAGCACACACCACCCATACAAGAGTGCGAGTGGCAGCTCCCAGCTGCTCCAGGGAAGGCAGGAACGGCCGGCAGGGCTCGGGGACGCCCCCAACACTGCCCCAGTCGGGGCAGCCCCGAGCGGTGCCGCGGGAGAACCGGCCTGCCCTCCCCTCACCTCTTCAGGGCCCCAACTGTGTCGCCGGGGTGCACCCGGGCCAGGCGCTCCGTGTCGTTGAGGAACTTCAGCCGCAGCACCATGCTGGGCTCGGCGGGGTCGCCGTCTCCCTCACTGAGGGAGCCCTGCGCAGGCGTGGGGCTGGCCCGGGGCCGCAGCCCCGCCGCCAGCCCGCCCGGCCCATCGGGAGCCGCTGCAGCCGCTGCTGCCGCCGGCGGGGCCTTGTGCTCCACGGGGGTTGGGGCAGCGCTCGGTCCCTCCTCGGGCAGCGGCGCGGCGGCGCGGGGCGGGGCGGCGGGCTCGGGGGCGCGGGTGGAGGCCCAAGCCAGCCCCAGCACCACGGCGACCAGCAACAACGCGAAGAGCACGGTCACCTCGTCGCCAACGCCCTCGATCAGCGTCATGGCGGCGGCGGTAGCGGTTACCGACCTGGGGGCATAGAGCGGGGCCGTCAGCCCGCCGGGCCGCAGGCGACCGGAGCCACGGCTGGCCCAGGCCCCTCACCTGCCGCCATCGCGCCGCTTCCGCCTCCCCGTAAGCCACGCCGGGAGCTGTAGTCCCAGTGGATCACATGCACAGAGCGCACCCGCGAAGCGCGCAGGGAGCTGTAGTTCTATTCTGCGCATGCGTAGAAGTGTCCCCCCGCTGGACACTACGGGAGCTGTAGTCCCGCTTCTTGGTTCTGGGTGTGCTGGAGGCCGGGGCGGGACTACAACTCCCGGCGTGCCCCGCGCCGGGACGCCAGCTAATAGCCTTCCCTCATCCGCCATTAGCGTTTGTGGGCTTATGGTCCTTGGTGGTCTCTGTCCGAGGAGATGCGGTGCTCTGGGCTGATGGAGGAAGGGGTTGCAACAGCCGGGCCTGGGTTCAGGGGGAGGAAGGGAGGCCCTCGGGTGTTGGTGTTAATGTTAATGTGGTGGCGCTTGGAGAGGCTTAGGAGGGAAGGATGGCTGTTGAGGGCAATGCATAGAATAGTCTCGACTGGGCTATGTTAGGAGGAATTGAGCTACAACCATCACCTGGCCCAACTGCCAGACCACTTCAGAGCTGGCCAGAAGTTAAAGCATGTTGTTAAGGACATTAACCAAATGCCTCTTGGAACAGTGGCAGGCTTGGGGCATCAATCACATCTCTAGGGAGGCTGTTCCACGGTTTGAGCACCTTCTTGTTAAATAAATGCTGCTTAATGTCTAGTCTGCACCACCCCTGATGCAGGTTCGAGCCATTCTCATGCATCCTGACCCTGGATCCCACGGAGAAGGGATCAGGACCTCCCTCACCACCTACCCTCCTCACGTACAGAGCTGTGAGGTCGCCCCTCAGCCTTCTTCCCTCCAGACTGGATAAGCCCAAAGTCCTTAGCTGCTCCACCAGCTTTGTGTCTTCCTTGGGTGCATTAAAGGAACTTCACATCCTCACAAACAGCGGGGCGCAGCACTTGCACACAGTGCTCCAGGTGAGGCCACCCTAATGTTGAATACAGTGGACAGTTCCCTCTCTGACCAGCTGGTTCTGCTGTTCGATGCAATCCAGGCTCTCTGGGAGACAGGGCACGGGGCTGACTCACACAAAGCCTGCTGCCCATCAGTCGCTCTTCCCCCGTCTCTGCTGACCAGGTCCCTTTCTGCCGGACTGCTCACCAGCCACTCCTCTCCCCATTTATGGGATGGCCTTGGAAACCTCTTAGTGGGACTGCAGGCAGCTGTAGAAATGCTCTGAGGGCTGGAGCACCTCTCGTATGGAGACAGACTGAGAGAGATGGGCTTATTCAGCCTGGAGAAAAGGAGGCTCTGGGGAGATCTTGTCACTCTACTTGATAGGAGGGGTGTGTGTGTGTGTGGGGTGGTCTGTTGTGATAGGACAAGAGGAAATGGACTCCAGTTGTGCAAGGGGAGATTTAGACTGGCACCTGGGGACATAGGTTAGTGGTGGTGTTGGCAATGCTGGGTTGTAGTTGATGAGCTTTAAGGGTCTTTTCCAATATAAAGGATTCTGTGATGGTAAAGCAAGGTGGGCAATCCAGCAAATTCCACAGGCAGCACCAGTGGCTCCTTCAGGAGCTGTGCTCCGGTGAAGATTTGGTCTGTGTTAGGAAGAAAGTGAAAGTGCAGTGCAGAGAAAACACGGGTCTGTGGGAGAAGCTAAAGGCTAAAACTGACCAAGTTCCAGTAATCCTTTGGAGGACTGTGAATCCCCAGATGGGTTTAAACTCATCTGCAGGCTTCATGAAGAAGGAAGGTGTGAAAGATAGGTGAAAAAATCAGTGTGGAGCAGATTTTGTCTCCAGCTTGGTTTTGATATATTTACCCTTATTTTGTTATACTTACCAGCATAATTTACCCTAAAATCTCCCTTATCCAACTAGTGTCTGGTGTGAAGCCTTAATGCTGGAGGCCCAGCTTTTCTGTGGTGCTCATAAAGGAACAAAGCTGAAGGGAGCTCCCTCAGTTCAAGGCCAGGTTGGATGGAGCTTGGAGCAACCTGCTCTACTAGAAGGTGTCCCTGCCCATGGCAGGGGGTTGGAACTGGATGAGCTTTAAGGTCCCTTCCAACCCAAACCAGTCTGGTGTTCTGAGTGATCCTGTGGTGACAGTATCCCCTCCCTCTGGGGGTCCATCGCTTTGATGGCACAAGGTATTTCAGATGATAGACTGGGGAGGTGCACGAGATGCAGGGAGGTTCTAGGGAGCTGGGTGGCTCCTGGGAATTCACCATTTTCCCTTCTGTACTGTGGGTGGGAATGGCAGGCTGGTTGGTGAGGCTGGGGGAAGCTGGGATCCTGTTCCCAATCCCAGAGATGGGGCGTGGAGCTGGAGGTGGTGATTCTCTCAGCTGCCTCCTCCATCCTGCTCTGCACTCGTCATCACTGCTCCCAGCTTATCGTTCTGCTGCAGCAGTGCAGGGTGATGGCATGTGTGATGGGAGAGCTCAAGGCTGCAGGCAGCACAAGTGTCATACCAGCACTAGCAGAAGGCACTGCAGACAGAGCATCTATCCTCTGTGTGCTGCTGTCTTGCAGAACTCATCCTGCCATTGCAGGGAAGGCTTTTTTGCCTTGCAAACAGCAGTGAGGGAGCTGGAAAGTGAGGCTGCCAGAGCAGAGTACTTGCATGCACAGCAGGACGTAAAAATAGGCTGTTCCTGGTGTCCTCACTTCCCAGTCCTCCTGGAAGCCTGCGGGGAGGAATGCTTTCCGGCAGAGGAGGAGAGAGAGTCCCCTGATGTAATTTGCCTTCAGCAGCTACACTGCAGAGCGGGAAGCTGTGAATTCGGTCTTACACCAGGGCATCCCTGCTCACTCTCCACATGTCAAGGTCTGCACTGGGAGCTGACTCCTCTCCTCTCCCTGCAGCATCTCCCTTTGTCATCCTGGTGGGACCAAGGAGCCCCGTTAGCGCCTCCAGGGAAGCTCAGCGCCTGTGGGAGGAGAGACATGGGAGAGATGAATGCCTCTGCAGCTGAAACTGCTCCTGAGGAGCTCCCACCAACAGCACGAGGTGCCAGCCCTGCTCAGAGACATGGAGACGTGTTGTGGGGAGAGTTGGGCTGGAAAAAGGAGCGGCAGGGTGGGAGTCGGGGAGTGCTGAGCTGCAGCATTGCGAGGTGGGGATCCACGTTCACAAAGGACTGTGGAGAACCAGCTCACGGGAGACCCCATGCTCATCATGAATGAGGGGTCTCTGGCAAGATCCTGGGAAGCCGCCCTGCAGCACAACACTGTCCCTCACAGGGAAGGGATGGAGGGGTCTCAGGGCTGGAGGACACCAGGGGTCTGATGGCAGCGGTGGGCAGCACCCATGGGTGCAGGTTGTGCTGCTCACTCTGCCAAGGTGCTTGGGCTGGTGGGTGAGCCAGGAGGTGAGAGGAGGCAGGAGCCCAGCGCTGAGGTGCTGCAGGATGGTGGGTGCACTGCTCCCTCCCACAGCACTTTGCTGCAAGCGTGATGCCGGGGTGAGAAGCTGGTGGGAACAAGCTGTCCCTTCCCTGTGTCGCTAAGGGTGATGCAGACAGCCCTGGGCCAAACCTGGGGGAACCGGGGGTCTCAGGGGCTGGGGCTGGGTTGCCGCAAATGGAGAGAACATCCCAGGGATGTGAGGGTGCAGGATGCAAAGGAAGCAGGAGGTTTGAAAAATACATTACACTGTGTAGGAAGCAGAAGCAGGATTTATAGCTTCCAGGACATAGAAAATAAGCTGTGTCTGAACAAAATCATTTGAGTGGTTATGACTGCTCAAATTTAATGCATTTTATCCAGTGGTTAATCACCCTCACCAATAAAATTTTGTGTCTCATTTTCAACGTGGATTAGTCTGGCTTCAGCTTCCAGAGATTGAGTCTTTTTATATCTTTCCTGGCTCGATTAAAGAGCCATTTAATACTTCCCTGTGAAAGTAGTTCTACAGTGTAATCAAGTCACCCCTCAATCTTCTTTTAGATAAGCTGAACAGATTGTGCTCTTTAAATCTTCTGCGGTAAGGCACTCACTCCAGCCTTCACATCATTCTGCGTGGGGCTTTGCAGGATCTCTTTGGGTTTTCAGTAGTCATCTCAAACATTGTTAATAGAAAGTGATGCCCCATTCTGGGTGCCACATGTGTTTTAGGAGGTCAGCCCAGGGACAGAAAACTGCCCCTCTCCCCTCTGGAGCCATGGCCTCTGCCCATGGGATCTATGTGGTCTCTGGGGTTGTCAGGGAGGACAGAGTGCTGCAGAGGGTGCTGAGTCCCCTTCCTGCAGCTTTGCCCTCTCTCAGAGCTGGGGAGCACGCTGAGAAGCCCAGCTCTGTATAGGAACACCGGTGACCACCATGGAGCTGACATCCATGCTTGCCTTTCTTCTTTGAAACTGGCTGCCTCGCCTGTAGCCATTCTGCTCGTGCCACAGCTGCCTGCTTTCCTTAAATCCCTTTGGGAATCCCAGAATGGTTTGGGTTGGAAAGGATCTTAAAGCTCATCCAGTTCCAACCCCCTGCCACAGGCAGGGACCCCTTCCACCAGAGCAGGTTGCCCAAGCCCTGTCCAACCTGTCCTTGAACACTGCCAGGGATGGGGCAGCCACAGCTTCTCTGGGCAACCTGTGCCAGGGCCTCACCACCCTCACAGGGAAGAACTCCTTCCTCAGATCCCATCTCAGTCTCCCCTCTGTCAGTTTAAAGCCATTCCCCCTTGTCCTGTCCCCACCTGCCCTTGGCAAAAGCCCCTCTCCAGCTTTCTTGCTGGCTGCTTTAGGCACTGGAAGCTGCTCTAAGGTGTCCCCAGAGCCTTCTCCTCTCCAGGCTGAACAAATCCAGCTCTCTCAGCCTGTCTTTTCCATAGGATACATAAGGGTTGTCTTGAGATGTCCGGTCACAGAGAGGGAGATCCCAGTAAGAGACACAGACACTGAAGGTTTCAAGTGTGAAGGTGACAAACCGTGGCTCACCACTTCTCTCGGGCAAGAGCCAAGCCTGTATCTGCTCAGTGGGAGCTGCGCTGCTCGAGTGCTGGGAACCATTCCCAGCACAGCCCTGCCCAGGGAGTGGGGTGGGAGAGCGCTGCCAGCACCAGGCACCCTTTTGCCAGGCTTGGGGGCTCTTTCACCCCACACTCCTCCAGCCTCATCTCACCAGATCAGGGCTTGTCCTCAGC